CACTTTGTTCACCACGTGTAATGGAACTCCAAATTTCTCCACTGTAATAAGTCTGTAAACTTACCGCCAATCCAGAAGAGGGCAGTAAGATCGATTATGTCAACTCAACGGATATAAAACTATTTGTAGCTTAAATCCACACTATTTTATGAATCCAAAATGCACACAACATATTTTAAAGCCAATTGATAAACAAAATATATTTTAATGTAATTCAAAAGTGACGTATTATATATTTTCTCAAACTTACCGTTGTTCAAACACTCACAAAGACAACTAGAAAAGTGTTTAAACAAACGTGCATTTATTGATGCCGTGCCGTCCCTAATCTATTACATTAGCCTTTTTAATATACAGAGCTTGTAGCCCTTGTTCCGACGATAGTCAAGCTAACTCACGAAAAGTTAATAATTCTAACTCACGAGAAGACGACTAAAACTACAAACATGATAAACTGATAACAAGATATATCGCATTGTTTTTAAACGAACAGTATATACTAAATACGTACATGTATATAAGACATGTTTATATATGTGTGTGTTTGTGTATTTGTATATACATAACTGTGTATATATATATTATCTTCAAATGTTGTTATACATATACTTGTGAGTGTTAATAAGACTTTATTAAGCATTTCTTACCGCATTTCATCATGAGAACAGAAGACAATATTAACAAATTTGTAAACTTGCATGTGTGAAAACAGAAGAAAGAGATCACCCTGAGACGGCCTCGTTTTAACCGCTAGGTGACGTCAAAGTTTCAAAAGTCTTAAATCATATGACTTTATTAAGTAGTAATCCCCAAAATCTTTATAACTCGATATAGAGAAAATGTAAATCTATGTCAGTTAACAAAGTATAAAACAAAAGTCTGTAATTGTGAGTTTTGCCAATAGGTGCATTATATGTAAAAAAAAAAAATGCAATATATAAATAGAAATCAAGCTAAAAACACATTTTTAATTGAATAGTGTTACGACAGCGGAAGTCACATGACGCTGGTAACACGTGATGAGATTCTCGAAGGATCCTGAATTGTCCTGGCAACTCTAGTCTGTTCCAAGCGCCTCCTTTTTTTAGTATATAAGCCCGGCAAATAAAGCGAGATGAGAATTGATAGATAGAGAGACTGAAAATGGAAATAATCGAGTCAAGCGAACAGTAGGCACCGTAAGTAAAGTGTGTGAATCGCTGTGAATTATAACGTGTGTTTATAAAAGTATTTAAGTTTAAAGTGACTGTGGAAATTAAGTGTATTACAAAGTTTGTAACGAGAAAGAATAAACTAGTGTTAATTAAGAAAAGACTTGTATCGCTGAAGTTTCTCGGAAAGAATTTTTACGGGAAATTATCAAACAAGCAGATACGTAACAATAGTAATACATTCACTGAGAGGAATACAGTGATAAAAAGATACACATTTATTTTCAAAGATGGACCATTTTTTACATCTTTTTTAAGAAGTAGATATAAAGAAGAAGGTGTTGTGAAAGTGTTATCGTCTAGAAAACGAAGTGTAATCAACCCAAAAAACTATATTTCTTTAAAAATTGTAACCACAGTCATTTAAAGACTGAGAAAAATTAGCATCTTTTGAGGAGCTACTATTACTACTGTCACAATGAGAAAAAATTAGTGTTTCTAGAAATGAAAGAAAAACGTATTCGAGACGATATTAACATATTTGTACTATGGGTAAAAATGAGGGATTTCGTCGCAGGATCTACTTCCTATAACGAGAGATTGGCTGTGCCAATGGGAAGCATAATACTATTGACACTTGGAAACGCTACCCTACCTGCGAAACCGTTTAGTTTTGGCAATTATTCTGTAAGATACTCACTCAACGAACACTAGTTTGGGGTTGATAGGATTTCCATTCACTTCACACCACACAAACACATTTTAACAGACAAGAGATTCAAAAATATTCTGTTGTAATTTACTAATAGTTGAACACACTGGTATAGAACTATACATTATATCACACTTGTAGTTCCTCATGCACTAACAGAAACAACTTCAAACTTGGATACAATAATTGTTGGCGCGACCTCATTAATCAGTTACAGTAGCCGGGTAATAAGCATAATTTGTAGCCTTGTTCCTAGTTATCCCTCTAGACAATCATAAAAAGATGACCAAAATTGAAAACATATACTAACTTCTTTACAATGATGATTTTAAGCAAACAACGAATACGAATATAGTTGTTTTACTGATATAATTATACCTCTTTATATAATTTTCTACCATTCATATATATATATATATTTAAATCTGTTATTCATATATTTACGAGTATTATTAGAGCACTTAAGTAAACAGTTCTCACCGCAGCCTCCTTGCACTTCAACAGAAAACACGAGGAAACACTGACAAATTCATGAGGCTGCATATGTATCACAGCGGATAAATATCTGCCTCAGTCTGTCTCGTTTTAACCACTAGGTGGTGTCAGTTTGAAAAAAATCATTATATTACGTGACTTCACTAAAGTAGTAATCCTACAAACCTTTATACTTCTAGATAGAGAATTGTTTGCCATTAAGCACAAAAACTACACAATGGGCTATCTGTGCTCTGCCCACCACGGGTATCGAAACCCCGATTTTAGTGTTGTAAGTCCGCAGGCATACCGCTGTGCCACTGGGGGGAGCTAGATAAGGAAGCTGTAAAACTATGTGATTTATCAAAACTTAAACAACAGCCAGTAATTTGGAGTTTGACCAATATATGTATTATAAGTAAAAAAATGCAACAGAAAGAGATTAAGCAAAATGGCAAATTTACTGAAACTGAATGACATAAATGTTTTCACAGATGTGACATATTTTAGCTCTTTTTCGTAACCAAATATAAGAATATACTGCATAATTGTTACTTATCTTCTAGCAAACATTCCATAATCAAAACAAAAAAAACAAAACAGAAAAACTTTTACTTTAAAATTTTGTACCCAAATTTATATAAAGTTTTAGAAACATTAGTGCCATTTGAGGAATTCCTGCTGCTGCCACAAACAAATTCTACAATGTAAAAAACTTTCATTAGAAATGATATTAACAGATATTAACATACTTCAGTAACAATTAAAAGTTAGCGATTTCTTTTAGGGCCTACTTTCTATAACAAGAGATTTGTTGAGCTAATGCTAAACTTATTAATATTACATACTCTGAAATCTGAAAATGAATGCGGGGCTGTCAAACCTTTAAATTTTGACAATTAGGCGGTAAAAGAGATTATGCATACTCAAAGAGCACTCCAAGACTTGTAGCTTGGGGTTAGTAGGACCACGTCCACAACATCTTATAAAACCAAACATATAATTATTTTAAAGCCAAAAGATGTATATACATGATTTAATTTAATAAGACATGGTCACAAGTAAAGTATTATATATTTTATCATACTTTTTCAGACACCCACTAAACCAACTGAAAAAAAAAGTTTAAACTTTTATACATTTATTGCAGCCGCACCCTTACTGATCCATTACATTAGCCTGGATAGTAAGCATAACTTTTACCCTCGTCGTGAGGATAGTCAGCTGCTCCTCTAGACATTCAAGAGTAGACGACCGAAACTGAAATAATACACCAATAATCCATACAGCGACGTTTTTAACGCACACAAGTATGAAATTTTTGTATATTATATATATATATATATACACACACACATATATATAGAATGTACTTTAGTAAATTAATTTAAAGTATATATATATAGTTATAACAACGTACTGCATATATGTATACTACACACACTATTTATATA